ATATATATATATATATATATATATATATATATATATATATAAAATTAATACATTTTCCAAAATGTATCCATAAGTTCTTTTTTAATTTGATGTCATAGCTTGTATTTGTGGAAGCTGCATGAATCTCAAGTGCCAATGTATGAGTAAAATGTATTATTTCACATCTGGCTGAGATTTGTGGACAGAATGAACAATGAAAAGTTGCAGCTTTTTGTTAGCACATACTATTTAGTTCATTCTGTTAATGTGTTTGTAAGACCAATCATTTGTAATCCTCTTATTTTACTTTAGGGCAAAACAGGTCATGGCTACCAAGTGAAAACCTGTTTAAAAGTAAATGATTACTGCACTTGACCACCTATTCCTGAGAAAAAAAGAGATATATAGCAATCTTTTCTTTAGCAATTGCTGGTTCAGCAAGCAATCTGGCCTAATTTGCTTTGTATTAGTGAGCATGCATGTCCATTATTCTTAATCGTTAAGCGCTATTAGACATACATTAATCCAATGACAGCACTAGTCATTGCGAAATGCTTTGGCAGCAAATTCTGAGGGCTTAAGGGTTGAAAAGGTTCATGACATTAGCTATTTGGAGAAAGGGCTGTGACTTCAGCCCTACATGAAGTATGTTGTGAACACGGCAGAGAAGGGATTTACTTCCTTGTACTGTAAAAACACAAATGCTCTTTCTCTCTTACACACACACACACACACACACACTTTATGTCACCTGGAGAGGAATGTGTAATAAATGAGTGTCAGTGAGCATGTGTTGGGATCAGATTCCACTTCATATGAACACAATAATCACATTAGAAAAAATGTCACAGAAATAGAATTGTTTGCACATCCTAGAGAAGTGAAGAAAAAGGGTCATTCAGGAGCATGCACATTTGAATCAGTGTCAGTCTTTTATTTTTATCTGATAATAATGTAGTGGCTTAAAAACAGTGGAGATGCCAGAGAGCGCTGGCAGCTCCGGGTCCCCGCTGTCAAGCCCTAGACACGAGGACCTGGCAGGATCATGACCCGACCCTGCTGGACTCCATCCAGACTGCAGTTCCCAACAGATAATCAGCACTCACATCAGCTCTCACTCAGAGAGGAGAGCGCTGCTTCACAACAGCTGTGTTTCTGTGTGTGGGTGCAGGAGTGAGTGTCAAGGTAGATTTCTTGTTTCTGGCTGCCCTTCCTTTTCAGACTGCTCTCGATTGCCTCCGGGGTTCACGTTAGACTCAGCCGAGATGATGCAAACTCTGTCCAGACTGCTATGTCTGGTGGAGAGGATGGCTGCATCTCATTTAAAAAACCCAAAACTTTAAAGATCATGGCAGGATCAGAGGCGTGTGATGAGACGAAGCTGCTTTTGGAGAAACAAAAAGTGTCTGGAGTGTACGTTTGCAGATTAGTGGGGTCCACAAAAAAAAAAAAAAAAGGACACATTTTCCTTCATTCTTTCAAGTAAGACACACGACACACAAGAATGAATGAAGTTTATCTTTTGGGCAGTTCTGAAAGAGAGTAGTTATTTATTTAACATGTTCTTTCATCCTCTTTGTAAAGCGCTCTTCAAAGTCTGCCACCTTAACAGTGAAAGAGTCAGACTTTATTCTCTTGTTAAATTAACAGACTTCAGGCAGGGACTCAACATTTCTTTAACGCACGATGAATTGTGACAGTGCCACAGAGAAAACGGCACATATTCACACATTCAACAACACCTCCCGAGTGTGCATTCTCTCCCACTTAAACAAGCACACACACACACACACACACACACACACACACACATTCGTATACTCCTTTGTAGATAACATCAAGAAGCAAACGTGATGATTATTTGAATCCTTTGTTGTGCTTGTGTGTATTCAGGCGCCCACATACACTTATATAACAACATAATGATTAAACATGTATCCACTCCGTAATACGATTCTTTATCATTAAACTTTGGGCTAACAACCTTTTTTGTCCGCCTGCTCTTGACACAAAAACATGAAAAAAAACATAAACATAAAATGTATGAACTTTACACGCAGGACTTCTGAATCCTTAGGTTTGTACTCACTCTAACATAAAGCCTTTGTGTGGTTATTGACTGGTCATTGCAAAAGGCTGGAGAACACGGCTGTTCTGCAAATGTTGTCAAAAGTGCAAAATGATCCACTGAAACTGGTTTCTGAATACATTTCTGCACAATTCTGTTTGCTAGTTCAAGCTGCTCTGTGGAGCGCTTCTTGTAAACAAACACAATTTTACATGTTTACATTTTATGTCATACATTTTTTTGTTTTATATACCATCCCGCTCTGTTCACATCAATGTTAACTAGATGGCCATCCTCTTCTCCGCTGCCTTTGTTTGATGCATTGCTACACTTTTGGCTGAAACCAAATGGGGACACACTCACAAAACCATTGCTCCAAAGCACCACTAGTGGTCAAAAACAGTGCACCTTTAATACAGTTACCATGCTACATTTTATGCTCTGTTTATGTAGTTCTTCATCAATTAAGTTTCAAAGTTCATCATTGATCTTAAAAAAAGGTGACAAAAAAAACTCATCTTCATCAGCAGATGGAGCTTGCTCTGTTGGATGAAAATCTCATACTGAGCTCACGATATTTAGCCTGGCTTTGGGAGGCTACACTCTATTCATTAATCAATTAATAATCAGAAACGAGTTTATCTTCAAATCATTATAAAATCTCATTCTCTCAATCCATCTATTGCCTTGATACTGACAAAATGCAATGTTTCATCAGTTTGACTACAGCGGAGTGCTGTTACACCGCTCTAACCCTTTTAATCTCAGCACCCTCACACCTGGTCTGCTCTCATCCAGGTAGTCCAGGGCTGGGTTGTCATAAGCCAGCTGTGCCCTCCTCTGGGGGGACTCTTTCTGCGTGTTGACAGAGGTCGCCTGTGTTGATACAGGCTCCTCTTCTTCGTCTTCTTCGTCTTCTCCCTGTCCCTCCTGGAATGCAGAGCCGCAGCAGACAGTCGCCTTGGTGACAAGCCGGTCGAGCGGTTTGAGAGAATGCATCCACTTGGGCAGGAAGTCCCAGCTCTGGAGCTTCGTGGGCAGGTGGCGAGGGCTACGGGCCTGCATCACATTTACCATGGTGATGAAGATGGTCACACCCAGGAAAGGAGCCCCAATGCCAGCCATCACTCGCCAGCCTGCCAGCGAGAGGCCCAGCACCAGCGACGGCAGGAGCAAGAAGCAGAGGAGGAGGTACAAGACTGCAAACCAGCGGTACTTGGCGGTGCGCTCACCGAGGACACGAGCCATCGTTATCGGCAGGCGTGTGAAGGGAAGAGGATACCACAGCAGAATACCAAAGACATTGAAGAAGAGGTGACAGAGAGCAATCTACGTGGAATGAGAAGATAAAAAGATGCAGTGTGTGAGCGCTGAAGGATGTAATTAACAGTCAATGTTTGTTGTCACTGTCATTTAAATCCTCAGAGAGGATTGAATGGATTGAATGTCATCATGTGACATTCAATCCATTCAACGACACAAGATTGTCCGTGTTTTTTTTGTGTACAGGAAAAACACATTTGTTTTACTTTCAATGTGGGAGGGTGTTGGTAATGGTGCATTCACTTTACTTTTTCTCTTGCATCTGATAAAGCACTGGCTTACTTGTATGGCGGCTGATAGCTTGTTGCCCGGACTTGCCAGAGCTGCCAGCAGGGCTGTGGCAGTGGTGCCGATGTTGGACCCGAGCGTGAGGGGATAGGCCCGCTCCAGGCTGATCACACCAATACCTGAGGGAGACGACAGAAACATACTGCGTCAGGGGACACGAGGACATTAAATAGAGATGGATAACCAGGAAATGCTGTAGCTTCTACAAGAGATAAAAGTGGGATTATTTCATTGGGGATTACATTTCTGAAAAGTTGATACAAAACTGAATGCACTGCTTTTACAAGAATAACAAGCAGAATAAAACCACATCAACAAAATAAATGTACTGAACACTGTTGCGAGCCATAGAGGCTGTTTGCCTCCAAATGTTTTAAAAACAACTATTTGAATTAGTCAAACCATATGACTCAAATTACATCTCAGATAAATAAACAACATCAAATATAATTTGTACTTGGTGATGAACAAAAGCCAATATTACAAAAAAACAACAGAGGAATAGAGACTGAAATAGAGACTGATAGAGCGGCGCTGTGTTCTTAACAGCAGAGAAACGACCATGGATGTAATTCATTAGATATTTTATTAAGCTATTTTTTCTTCGCCAGATAAGATGACTAATGACTGTCAAATGAGTGGATGCTTGACAGCAACTGACAACCAAAGCAGGACCAATGCTGCAATAGTCTACATGTAGTTAAATATACTGAAATAGAGGGAACATGGTTGCTCTTTATCTGTTATTTTCTAGTTTGTTTTCAATACCTGATACTATGACCTATAGTCACAGCAGTTGAAGGGAAGGTAAAGCTAAAGTCTAACATAAAATAAGCAGAAATGTTTAATTAAGTGTATCTGAGGATTGGAAATCATCCATGTGTATTAGTCTCTTGCCTTGTAGCTTTTTTTTTCCAAGCTGCTTAATTACTCCTGTTTTAAATGATACATGATTCCCATCTCACATTTATCACCGAGTAGCAGGCTGATGACTCAGTCATCGCTGATTTTACATGCTTCATTTAGCCAGTAGCATACAATACCGGTTATGCAACATGTTCTTACAAACTTCACAAGACTCGATCAGTGGAAATGAGCAGGGTTGTGTCCTTATTTGGCCTCGTCTAGCTGGTAAATGAGCTATTAGCCTACAAGGAAATGTATGGTTTTCTCCTGTTAGTATGAGAACAAAGTCATCTTGATTAGCCATTAAATACATGACAAGAGCAGTCAGGTAAACCTTTGCTCAATGTAAAGTTAACAATTACTGTAGTGAATGTCTGTTCAGAGGTTGTGGTGTTTGAATTTATAACTTGGTGCAAAAAACAGTGGCCTTGGAAACAACAGCCCAGTTTACTAGCTGCTGGATTACAGCGGCGATTCGTCCAGGTTTGACTGACAGTAAAACGCATGAGCTGCTGTTTTCAGCGTTTGATGTTCTCTCTCTTCCACAACAACTTTAAAACAAAGTAATCACACATGACATGAACATGAAATGAGATCATCTAAGCTCACAACCGCAGTGGCAAACCTCAAATGCCAGAAGCAGAGTCCAGACTGATAGCCACTGCTGCACATTGCTGGCCCACTCAAGGACAAGATCTGATACTCTGCACAGTTAGAGTCCGGTTTAATAAGACATTACAAGAGACTCCCCGAGGGGTTTGCACCAAATGAAACATGATGAGATGAGAAGAAGCTTCGCATCAGTCCGACCTTGACTGGGCCGATGTTGGAATTGCCCCCGGACTATCAACAGAACTTTCTCAAAGATCACCCAACACAAAGAGGAGAAAACTAACCAAACGGAATGTTTAAGAGTTGTACTACTTCTCAAGGAAAAATTGCAATGACAAACTATAATATATGATAATACAATTGGGTTTTGCATATGATGTAGAACCAACAAAAGTACCACAGATTAGCCATCAGGCTGCTACGAATAACTGTACAATTTACCAGCTAGTATTTCTATAGAGAGAATAAAGTGCTGGACAACTGCCGGGGATCAAATCGTTGTTTAACATTACTCACATATCTCTTATATCCTGTAATAACCAAGCGATGCTGCCACAGGTTTCACACTCACACTGAGGTCTTGACTACACAAGATTAAGTTTGATGTTATTCTGTACTTTAATGGCCGGGGGTGTTTTAAAATGGTTCGGCCTCCTGTGGTCACTGACCGGTCAAGAACAAGAAAGATCGAACACATCCAAGAGAGTAAAACAAAACCATGCAGCAAGTTTTCTGTTCATGCTGTGTTGTGTTCATACTGCATGCTATTGAAAACCACGCAAGTGAGACAAGGGTACAAAAACCCTGCAGGTCACCAAGAATTGATCAAGAACAGTACAAACAAGAACAGTTAAAACAAATCTGTCAAACTAAGAGCTTTTATCAAATATCTCTTGCTAGACACAAACCTTCAGCCACTGTAAACTCATTGTGCATGTCTCCACTGAATCTTTAGGTGTTTTTCCACAGTTGTGGTGTCTTGCAGAATACAATCACATGGTTTCCAAGAGAAAAAAGGACATGTGTTGATAATATATTCAGGCCTTAAATTGATTAAAAACCATAATATTAAATGATATCTATTCAATTGCCTTTAAAGCAACATCTGTTATTTTTCTTACGACAGATGTTGGTTTTACATAACAGTTTGGTGAAAGCATTGCTGGGGGATGTCATCATATTTCATGAGTCTACATGAAGATAACAAATGAATGAGGTTTTAATAACAGGAACAAACTAAATGATGTAAGTGTGTAGCACTTTGCAGCCCTCTTAGTGGGGTTATTATCATATTTCTGCTTGTTCAGTATCTTGTCTGCTTTTATCACATATTCCCCTCATTTTTAGTGTTTTGGCATTATCTTTTTAATGCACATAGGTTTACATGCTTTAACTCATTGGATTTAGTTTCCCATGATGCTGATGAGTCTTACAAGTCTTTTTCTAGTCTAGTCTAGGTCATACATACTGTACCTACACATTTCTCACGTTAACATTTTATCATATAAATGTTTTACCTTCATTTTTTACAGAATGTAACATATAATCTCCACGATTTGTGTTGCAAAAGCATATTTCACCCACCTACTAGGGGAGTCATGGCTGAAGTGAAGACAGAGCTACTCTGGACCACAAACGTTACCCCTGCACCCACAAGCATGGCCAAGTATCCTGACAGCCACCCACACGGATAAGGCAGGTCTGTTGAGATAAAGAGAGGAGCGATGGGAGTCACGCACATGTATCAACACCTGCATCTTTTTCACAGCCTCTTTCGTCTAATTTGCATCCAAGAAGGTTTTCTTGGTTTGTTTGCTGATTTACAGACTGCATCATGCATTTGCAGTTGCTACAGGATAACCTGTGTCAAACCTCCAGCAGCTCAAAAGGCAAGCCCACCTGTGTTGACGACTTTATGGATGACCTTTGCGACTTGGCCTTTAAGAAGAGAGTTGAGCAGTTTGACCAGAAGCAGCAGACAGGTACAGAGGACGGCCAGAGAGCCTGCCAGGAGAATCAGGCCCACCGCGAGGTCCGACAGTCGCGTGGACGCAAACAAATGCCTACCTGCAGAGTGACAGCACCAACAATCATCAGGAAATGATCCCACAAACTATACTATACTGAAAGAAAATGCATACAAGAAAAGCACTGTACACCTCACAAGAGAAGGTGTATTACAAATGTTGCTGAGTTTCAACTCACACTTCACTGAAGATTGGGACATGCCATGACTGGGGCCACAGTTTGCAGTGCTCACATTGCCAGTGGACTGTAGAAAGAAAGAAAGAAAGGAAGAAAGGAAGGAAGAAAGAAGCATCTGTGATGAAAACACAAATTTGCAGCACAGTTCACTGGCAGCAGTGCCATGCTCTATTTGGCGCCAGAGTGTGACACAATGTGTCTACATGTGCAGGAGACAGCAGTGGAGCCATTACCATAACAAGGTCAGTCTGGCACCATTCTTTCACCAGGCTCCTGTTCCTCATGTCCTCATTCCCCATGGCGATCCCTGTGATCACACACTTGTCGAGCTGAGGAGGGAAATAAAGGAGACATATTCTTCTCATCTTTGAAATTCAGTGAGTCAAAGGAGAGCATGGTTATAGTTTTTGAACTGCAGTCATTCAGTCACATCCTCCACAACAGCTGTCCAAGACACTTAGGACAACTAACTGACTCTTTGTTAGGCTCCGCCCCCCTTAGTTAGAGTTGCAATACCTATCAAGCTTTCCAGCCTTCTGCGGCACATATGCAGTTAAAAAAAAAAAACGGCGGCAGATTTACCACTCAATTTTCAAAACAATGGGTCCTTGATTTCAGACAGAGGTAGAAAAAAAAAAAAAAACAGGCCTCTAATTTCGAGACAGCAACCGACAACTTTGCCAGCCAAAATGGCAACTGTTTCAAAGCTAGCTAGTGGGGCTTTTCCACGAAAGACATTTAAACTTGCTGATTTGATTTAGCTGTTTTGATTTGAGGTTCCTGGTATCGTGCATGCTGGTTCCCTGTCAACGTCATCTGGAACACTTAACAGAACGGCGCCATCGTTAGTGTTTTTAGTACCACCTGTTACTTCCGCCGGCTAGTGAGCCTTTTTTTCTTTTAAAATGAGAATCATGTAAAAGAGGTCTTAAATGTATCACTGATATGATGCTAAAAGACTTTAGCTAAAGCTGCATGTCGAAGTCACAAACGTGTCATCCTCACCAGTGATGATCAATGAAGACATAGAAAATAAGATTGTTCTTGCATTGTAATGAAGAGCTAGTTAGCCCTAGCGTTACAGCTACGACTGTTATTTCAATCTAACATTACCCTGACTGTCTGCTTAGCTTTTCACTTACTATAATGACATCTGAAAAGCCTTTTAGGAAGATTTCTAACCAAAGTAATAGAGAAATGCAACACTATCTCGGGTTCATTGCTGGGGTTGCTGCATGTAAACCTCTCCATATTCAATAAAGAGCAGGTTAATGTTAGCGTTGAGTGTGTAGCTACACAGTGTACTACACAGTGTATGTGCTAGTTGTAAAATAGGGCTTTTTATAACTTAAACTGTAACTCACAAACTAATGTAATCTGCTCATTGGCCTGCAAAGCCCCTCGGTTACTTCTGTAGGCAGTAAGCTAGTTAGCAGGACTTGTTAATGATTGCGTCATTCGTTAGAGCTGACAAACACAGTATTTAGTCGATTCCGTACACTTAAAAAATAGGCAAAAAAGCCATTATCCTCCAAACTCTTCGAATGCCTAGCATCGCACTTACTACAGAAATCCAAAGATTGACAGTCCCGCCATTGTTACAGTTGCTCAGCTATAGTTGGACAATCTGTTTGGGCGAGGGATTTCGCAAATGGTCAGTTACGAGAATGCTGATTGGCTGATTTACCTGTATGATGAGTTTGGTGACAGGCTCGGTGATGACCTTGAGCATCTCGGGTGCTTCCTCCCCTGGTTGAAGCTTGAAGTTGGTGACCAACAGGTCCGACAGCTTGGCCATGAGGCCGCTCGCCAACTCCAGTGGCAGCAGAACCAGCACCGACAGCCAGTTGAAGCAGTCGTGGATCGTTGCCCCGGCAAAGGCACTGCAGTGGGTCACAATCAATTTCCGCGTTATCTAAGGTCAGCCATCAGCATGATCAACTACTCAAAAAGATTGCTTGTTAATCTGCTTTTCATACCCTGACTTTTTGGGATGTGTCTGATGCAATGGGTATTTTAGTTTTGACTCAGTGTGTGAGTATTATTAAAGTTTAATAAATAGTATTTATTTTACCAGACACAGATTAAGTAACGTGCCATCTGTTCAGTGACGTACATTTTCACGTCAAAGGGTTAGGGGTGTGAGAGCAATGTGGATTGGTGGCATTATTGTCACTGTTGTAGAAAATACGCTCAAACGGAGGCTGAAGCAAAGAGGCAGCGAGCAGCTGCTAATGATCCCCCTTCACCCTCCTCTGTTTTCTTCTCTGCACGTTCAGCACTTTCCCCCTTCATTCCTTCACCTCCCCACTTATCCTCTTCAGTTTTCCATTTCAATTTCTTCTTCCCCGCTCTTCAGCCTTCCCCTGCACTCACCCTCTGCCCCGCCACTGTTCTTCACCCACCGTTGAAACTCGGTCCGCTCTGCCGCTTGCATCATGGCCACTATGGTGTTTGTGACTGATGTCCCGATATTGGATCCCATGATGATTGGAACAGCCGACCTCACCTCTAGCACTGTGAGGCGAGACCACGTAAAACATCTTACGTGAAAGTAATCACTCTTAGAACTATATGCAGAGCTAAACAAAAACATTGTAAATGGATAAATGTCCGCATTCATTTAATGATAATGCATCGAGCACATGAGAATAAGACATGACCTTTTGCATTTCAGAATGCAGCATGAGTTTTAATTGGGATAAAAGGGGATTGTAATTTGCAGTTGAGTGAAAGCAGCTTAGCCCTCACAGAGGTTCATTGTTGAGGATGTCTTTAATGATGATGACCCACGAGACACGTTCACGTAAGCAATGCATCTCTTTTTCTCTTTGATAATAACTTATAATCTTTCTCCTGGCTCCCTTACAGAAAGGATTTAGAAGCACAGCGGCAGCTCCTGCATACTGATATCATTCACGTTAACCACTGTAATGAAAGAGGGGAGACCTCGGAGGCTGCGCTCATTAGAAACAGACAGGTCATAACCTCACCATGTAATGGTCTTAGGAGGCATGATAAGCTAAAGGCTGAGCTGTTGGGAGATTACAGGGTGTGAAATGGTTTGATTTCATTATATCTGATCCCAGTCTGACCTGCTGGAGTACAATAATTCTCAGATGTTTTTTGCAAATGGCCACTGCATCAATCTCAAAATGTCAATTTCAGGTCAGTAAATCAGTCAGTGTATGGTAGAAATCTCACATAAGAAAGATTCAATTATGCCTCGTTAATTTAGTCACTGATTTTATTTTTATTTTTGTCAAAAAGTTCCCATGGAAAGACACAAAACATTAATAAATGTATTCCACTGAGTAGTTTCTGTGTAGCTAACACCTGATATAGCTTATTATGTGCCCAGACTTCCCTTGTTTGACCACCAAAAACTATTAAAAACGAATGAACATGGGCATTGTAGATTCATTTGAGTCACTCCCACATACACCGTTTGGTTACCAAAAATACAAGGGCACCAAATGTGTATCCATCCGTAGCTGAAAATAGTCCCCAACAAATGCTCCAGTTACTTCCCTTCGAGTAATATTTGCCAAAAACTACAGTGTCCAGCGGTTTCAGGAAAATATTTTGCCTTTTTAAAAATGACAATATGAATTGGATATGGAAAACAGGATTATGTCGTTAGTAAGAATGAATGGACTTGGAGCTGAGAACCACACAGGAAGTTGCAAAGTATTGAGAAAGTTACTAACACATCATTAGGTCTTTGTTTTGGCCTTTTCGTGGGATCAATACAGAATAACAGAATAAGCCTAATCCTTTAAATGATGTTATCGGAGAATGTACTTCTGCTAGTTTACTCCTGTTGGAGAAAACTAATGCATGTATATGTATATCTCAGAATAAATGAGGCCAGTCTGGACAATTTTTCTATTCCACAGTCTTATTTAAAACCTAAAATAACTTGTGCTACGCTACACGGCGCTGGCACATTTACACCCACTTTTATGCTCCTACTCACATCCGGAGGCCACCAGACTGACGACAATGGAGGTGGAAGTGGATGAGCTCTGGACCAGCACCGTAACCAAGATCCCCACCACCAGCCCTGCCACAGGGTTAGACAGCACTGCATTGTCCTGGAAAATGCCCCCTGCCACTTTACCTGGTTAGAAATGCCGCCCATATACACACAGACACACAAACAAAAAAAATGCTGGTCTCAGATATGACACAATTGCCAAGAGCAATGTTAAACAAAATTCAAACCTCTTGTTTCCCCAAAATCCAGAAAGGTCACCAGATGAAGCGTTGTGGTAAATTATACAGCAGAGCCCCCGTAGGACAGTGTGAACTGCTCTGCAGTGACTCACCTATTTGTCAAGCATCAACTGGCTGAGTCACTATCAACCCGCTAAGGGGGGCAGTGAGGGTTATAGTATACTTACCTCCTGCTAACTGGAAGGCAGAGCTCAGCGTGTCCAGGGAGCAAACGAAGAGGAAGAAGAGGATGAGGAGGAGAGGGATCTTGGATAGATTGATAAGGAGCTGCCTGGTCTTGTTCTGACTCACTGCTGTGGTCTGCGGAGAGCTATCTGTTGAAAACAACAACTGTTGAGTACAAAGTTATCAAAAAATATATCACAGATTAACACACAAATGTGGTATGTTTAGCTTTTACTTCACTCTATTTTTCCCCATTCTTAGGATTTGTTCTGGATGAGAGAGATGGACTCACTTAGCTATCTCACATAATGGGGAGAAAAAAGCTATCTGACAGACTACATTACCCATATGCAGCCAAATGCTGCTGAGTGACAGCAGGACTTAGCCTTTGTTGCCCAGACTGCATGATCTCACTGGCCCTGTGTGTCTTTGAGCATGTCTTTATCTAATGAGCATGTGGTTTGGCTTCTGCTGCTGTTATTTGCCTTTTTCGAACCCATCAGACCTGCTGCCAACGCAGGACATGAGTGCAAAATTCTCCTTCTAACGCCGCTCTTGTACCTTTCTGTTTCGGGAGTCTGTCCGTCTCCCTGAATGCAGGTTTGCTGGAGTGGTGATTGGTATGAGGGTTATGGCCCTCAAAGCTGCTGCAGAGGTCGAGGGTGGAGCCAATGCCAGACTCCCTGTCCTCCTCCTGCGGGAGTTTGGGCTGTGAGGAGAGCCGAGTGCCGTGCATCCTCATCCCCCCTCATAAAGAATAACAAAAAGCATACATTTCAAGCATTTCAAAGACATGAAAAACCAGAATGATGGGAATTGAAGCCAATAAGTTACCATTGTAGTGGAGCCCTGTGCTCCGTCCAGAGGACACTATAGTTATAGATCGAGACGACATGTTGCTTTGAATGCTGTGTGGGGAAAGGGAGGAAATTGAAAATCACAGGTTAACACCGTTGTAGAGGGCGACACATGTGAGTGTGAATTTGTTTATCAGCCACCTGCAGCAGTAAAAACAACCCCAAGGAGACGAACGTGTGTGTATACGAGCACATGTCTCACCACGCTACTCAGATCAACAGACAAGCAATTAGAAGGGAACAAAGGCGGCCCACACTGTAATTGCCAGCTGTCGTTGGTTTCGAGGTCAAACCGAATGCTTGAACATACACCGCGAGGCATCGCCTCGCCTCTCAACAAATATATGCCTTGTCAGAATCAATAAGGAAACATCAGTTTCCATGTAACTTGTCTTGCCCTCCATTTCCTGCAGCTGCAAGTCAGCTCTTAAAGGGACTCTCCACTGTCTATAGTGCATCAACTCCCTCCAAAGATTTTCATGCTCTCGGTTTGATAAGAAACATTTTTTTTTACCCCCTTTTCATGTCAGCCACTTTGCCATATTTTGGGGACTCCAGTGTAGGAGGGAGTACTAATGTGTCTCTGTAAAGCAAAGAGGATGGAAGTGAGTTTAGTAATTACAGGAGTCGAAATTGCAGTAATTAGTCGCTGCATCATTCTCATTCTGTGTGGCATCCTCCAGCAGGTTCTGATGTGCAGAGAGGCCCTGTTCGCCCTGTATGTGAGAGTGAGACAAGTTCCATAGATTGCAGCTGAATGTACTTGAGCATATTCTGTGTGTGTCTCTACTGAACGTTATCCTCTAATCTACCTCCCCTACGCTCATCTGTTTGCCGGTCTGCTGTTCTCTCACTGTTGCTCTCCGTTTCTGCATTATTTGTGAGCTTGCCTTTAAGTCACTATGTTTTACATATCGTCTCTGTGCGGTTTATGTTATGCCGAAATCTTTCTACTTGAGATTTACTTTTAGTAACAGTTGTCAGTGAGTGATGGCTGACATGCCAACATTGTCCAAAGGATCTATGAGCTGTTGGTCCCTTCTAGATAAAACGACAATTAATAAATTATTCATTCCAAATAACACCAGAAAGCTTCAGTATTTGATGACGCAAAGTCACTCAACATACATTTTTGGTATTGACATACGCACTAAAGTATCTTACCTTGTCTGAAACAGTCTAAGGTGTTGTGTATGACCCCCTGGAAAGGAAAGCATCAAACTGAAGTGTAACTCAGCTTTAAATATACCACCAGGTAACACCCCATCTCTCGTCGATTAACTTGCTCCACCATCACATACCTCACTGTTAATCAATAACACAGAGACACAACTTAATGATGCACGGGGTGGGAAAGCACGTTGTGTATTAGGTGATGAATGATGTTTGTTCAAACAGCTATTTTTCCCCCTGACTTGGGGCCAGATAAGGAGTTCAAGATGAAGAGGACTGTTTGATGTGATTGATGATCACCCTTGTTGTTGGAAGTTCTTCTAGTTCCACGTGCAAGAGAAGGAGAAATCTGACACCTAGTGGTAAAAGTTAGGAGAAAAATATCATTTCTGCACGGGCGCCTCAAGTCCACTCATATTTTCAAACAGCAGTTTTCATCACTTACTGTAGTTTGGCACAGAATAAAGCCAGGGTATTAAATTATCATTTCTTGCATGATATAAGTCATAATCTGCATGACTTGTGCGGGATGTTCAGGTGCTTATGTTACATTTCCAGGATTTAAGACGAAGCATGTTGTGATTGTAAATTAAATATCAGGAATATTTTCTCAGATCCTCTTAACACATATGTGCACACATTGACTTACACACCCCGCTACTCACAGGCAAGGCCCTCCTCACCATGCCATAAACGCTGCGATTGCCTGAGTAACAGGGTAATTGTTAACAATTAGGCCAGCTATGCTCCTGTCACGTCAGCAGTGCTCTCAACCAGATCTGCTGACCTCAGAGTTGCATCCATGAACTCAGAGGAGCAGAACTTAATAACCCACTAGCCTGGAGTTGTTATTTTCCAAACTGTTGTGAGAGCTGGGAGCCAAAGCGAGATAACAGCTCTGTTGTTGTGCAGGCAGCTGGACCCGAGCCGAGGCTGCTGCCGTCAATGGCGGCGAGGGGATAAATCCTTGAGATGTGGTGCTGCATTAAGCAGAGGAAGAGAGACACAGAGACGTACATGCACATATGGACACACACATGGCTAAATATCTGGCGCGGTTCCAGAGCTCTTTGCTACACCACCTCCCCGTGATGCTGTTAATCCCCTCTCCAGATGCGCAAGTCACAGGGAGGTTGCTGCTCAGCCTGGGGATAAAGCAAACAGAGGCCACCGGGTCGTCATGCACCATCCTGTCACTCACAACACCTGCCAATCAATGAGCAGTAGGTGCACGCCGTTAGTCCTCCTCTGCTCCCCAGTGGCTGCGTTAATCTTACACTGAGGGATACATCATGCTTTTAGTGAGCTTGCAGCCTGTAATCTGAGTGAAGGGAATCACAGAAACATATAACTCTAGACATATGTCAGTTAGCTGTGAACCGCCGGCTCTGGCGTCGCCATGTGGAGGCAATCCATCAATCATGAATACAGTATGCTCTGAATTTTCGACTTTAGCATCCATAAGTATGCTGACATGAAAACTGAACCTTAAACTGAGGCCACATATGTATTGGCAACTGTTGCTATAATAATCAAGTAAGTACTTTTTAAAGAAAAAATGTCCAAAATGTTCCGATTTGACTGCTGACATGTGAATATTTACTGTTCTTTTAGTTGGCTATGATGGTGAATTAAATATTTTGGTCCTGGACAATTGGTCAGACAAAACAATGTGAAGGCATCACTTCGTATTTTCCCCTATTTTCTGAACAATTGGCAAATAATTTTATACGGAAAACAGTTAGTTGCAGCCCTTATTTGGAGATTAATGTTGATAGACTAAAGCGATTACTTGTGCCAAGCAGGATTTCATAACATGGTCAAACTTGCTGAAAATTGTTCAACATTTTAAATATCTTGGTACAGTCTCTAAAAATCTTCACATTTATGAAGAAATGAAAACAGCTTTTGATTGACTCAATCTCAGAATTAACACTTTACAAAACAATGAGCGAGTCTTTTAACATTCTACATCATTTTTTCTCCAGAACTGCAGGTAGGAGAAGTACCACATAGTAAGTATAGTTATGGCCAAAATAAATTGGGAAACCTCAGATTAAGCCTTTACGTCTTTGTGCTGCATGTTTTTCCACTCCGGAGGGAGACAAAGTGATGAAGTTTTATTTTCTTGTACTCTAATCCTATTACTGGGGCGATCAATGTAATGATGGAATAGCCTCAGTTATTATCCAATGGTTTATCTGGGATTTGTTTGTGGAATTTATTTTCAACCAATGATCATCTGAGCTGAAGGATGTTTGAAAAACTCTGTTACATTGGATCATTGTCCGGTCTGTGGTTCAAGAAGGGGAAGATCTCCCAATGGCTGCCGTTATTGTTTTACCTTTATATAGTGATCGAAAAGAGCCTCTTCGCAGATTAAAGTACAGTGATATGCACACACCCATGCTAACACACAAACGCCACAGCAGATGCGAGTCAGCGGTTTCAGTAAATATTTTTGGACAACTCACAGCTGTCACTCCTCTCCGTCAATTCATCAAGATACTCAATAGACAAGGCTGTGTTTAGAACATACAGTACGTCAGTGCAGCATCAGATGTTTGATGTGAACAAGAGCCGAGTAAAGACAGTCAGCAACGTCACTTTATTGTCCATACACATTCAGTGTGGTATGTATACGACACTCACAGTACCATGAAACAGCATCATCACAGGTTTACAAGCGATTGTTTCAGTGCGTGCGTTCAATTTACCACGTTTTGTACAGTTTCCTTCCACCAATCAAATTCATTGCTCGTGTGTTTTCTAATCTATATCACAAATGTCTTGATAGTATTTTGTATGTTTCCTTTTGTATGTTTGTATGCATGTTAAGTGAAGTGACTCAAATATCCTTTGGGTTAGGCCTTTGTTACTTTAGCTCCTCGGTGGAGGATGACGGCGTGTCAGAGCCGTCAGGACACTCCTGAAAAAACAGGGAGGCACATGAAAAAAAATACAGATCCAGCTCAACTGCATTTCCGTGAAATATCTTACGTTTTAAACAGTGACATAGAAATAAATGCATAACAGCTCTCTTTTCATACGTATTGCAATACAGTGGTACAATGCAACTAAGTATGTTTACTCTTGAGTACTGTACATAAGTACACATTTAAAAAAGGTATTCCACTAAGTATTTCACTTTCCTTCATACTTCTACTCCTCACACTCTGACAGCTTTTGTAACTCCAGAGATTATTTTTTCATTTTCTTCCTGCCCAGTGAAAACCATGCATCTCTGATTTTAAAAGTTTGTGATAAACAGAAGGATGAAGTGTTTCTTTGAGAGTTGACAAAATGGATAATGCATTGTCACAAAGCATAAGAAAAGTGGACTTTGTAGAGTTATGTGTCACATTGCTGTGGATTAAACTATCAAACAACATATAAAAAGGAGTTAAAATGAGCTCAACCTTAATTATCTACAACAGTAAGATGCAGCATACACTGATATTATTCAAGAAACATCATGTATAATAGCAAAAACAGACAGGGAACATTTTACAGCACAATGAAGTGAAGTATTTTCATAGTGTGGTATTAGTATTTTGACTTAAAAAGCATCTGAAAACTTCTTCAGATCCAAATAAATACAAATAGAAACATCTGCACTGCACCTCACCTTCACTTTCTCCAGCTCTGGTCTGCCCGGGAGTGATTTTTGTGAGGAGAAGGACTGTAATGTGAGACAGGAGAGTCCCGTTAGATCCGATGACTATAAAAGTATGCAACAAAAGAAAAAGGCATAAAACACCAAAAGGTATGAATGTCAGATTAATTCTAACCTTCTTCGTCTGTTGCATCTCCTCTGTGGATTTGGACCTGTTCTTCATGTGCTTGTGAGGAGACGTGGTGGTACACTAGAGACAGAGACAAAATATTATCACTCTGGTCCTGTCCAATATGATCCTTCCTCTCCATCAGGCTTTCACACACCTCATTTGCCTTCTGTTCCATGGCTGACTTGGAGAAGTTCAGTGCTGATTAGATGATATCCTTTGGAATATAGTAGTTGTACAACTAGAAGGAAAGAGGAAGAACTTTACACGTCATGTGGTTGCAAGATATATTTTATAATTCTTTAGTTTACTGATCTAAACTGACCAAATCATTTTACTGTCATTTAAAATGTGACCAAAAAGCTGAACTGATTCCCTGATCTTGCCAGCTGAAAAATCTGCAGTTCTGAACTCCTTTCACTAGATGGCGACGCTGACCCAGGGATCCAACGCTGTTGCTACTTCACTGATCTGAATGTTTTGTTGAATGATTTTCCTCAGGCGTTAAACCTTTGGTACCAATTATCACTCTGAAACACCACCAGACACTGCTGCTTTTATTCTTGCTTCTCATTTTGATTTGTAAAGACAGGAACAAAAAACACACCTGAGGGGGGTTTTTTTGTCTTCATCCTACTGGCAGAAACTGTAACTAAAGGTTTTAAAATAAACGGTGAGTCCTATAACAGTAGAAATGGTCCACAGTCTGCCAGTTTAAGAATCCATTTGAACATTTGAAAGGTGATAGAGCCAGAAATATATCAACACCAGTTGGAGTCATGCAGGACAAAGAATGATTTCAGCACAACTAAAAGGCCACAATGATTACCAGCCAGATGCACAGCTGGTGGCAGGAGGCCTGGTGGCCGGGGACAAAAGACCTCTGGGTCTGGGTCCATTTTCATACTCCAACGATCTCAGTGGTGCCTGTCAAAGTCTGCATCCGTCTGACATCTGACCAGTTAGATCATCAGATCAATCAAACATACTTCCTGGCATTTCGGAGTGAATGGATGGTTTACTGATTTTCTATTCTGCTGACGCCTTTAGATGGTGGAGAGACACCAGGGTAAGATATCGGAGATTCGAAGGCGCGGTTCACTGACGTTTCTCATTATAAAGCAAAACGAAATGTGCAAAAGAAAAACAGCTCAACACAAGGTCCATTTACTTGATGTTTCTGAAGCTACTGTACGTCTTGTGTCCTTCCTCAGCAGAAAAGCACGACAGCTTTAAAGGGTGATGCTGAAAGCTTCAGAAACACCAAGTCTAGCTTGTCCTTGCGCAGACCTCAAGATTATTACATTTGTAAGTTTTTCTAAAACTTGTCATTTCAAATTTTTCTCTTTTGGCAATATCTGTTTGGCATTTGTTTAATGGCTAACATTTTAGCATTAACACCTACTATAGTACAGTAACACCCCTAAAGTCAAGGCTTAATCCCTTTAAAAGCCAGAGTGAGTAGGATTTGTCTATCATGGTTCATAAACACAACATTCAAACACTAGCTGGCGAGTTTAGCAATCATCAAGCTGATGGAGACGTTTGGTTTTCAGGGCTGTTAAAGCATGTTAAATCTCTGCATTACATTCCTGATGATGGCGCGACAACAATATCCACAGAGCAAAGATGAATTGCGTAGAAAGTCCCCTCCTGATGCGTCTGAACTGACTCGTCTACCTCCGTGATCTTTAGTTGCTGCTCGACAGGAAGCATTCAGCCCAAGGCTCATGAAGAATGAATGGGAGATGATCGACAGCTCACTCGCCTGCTGCGACGGCTGACATCAGCGCCACAGTTGATGCTATTGGGGAACCCCATTAGAAAGTCCCACTTGGATTGTAATATTCAACAAGGCCTACCTGCTACTGAACAATCTGCACTAGAGGGACTGAGCCAGTGAAGGGTTCCCAGCTTATTTCATACATCAGGCCTATTATGCACACGCGTGTCGGTTCAGTCACCCAGGGGCATACAAGACTGTTGTACTCCATGCACTTACACTAAAATGTGCATTAGGCTGCAGCCCTTTGAGGGATAGAGGAGGATAATCTCAGCCTTGATGGCAGGGGAGGCATTCAGCGAGTCCTGAGTGCGCTCTCTGACCAGCTCACAGGGATATGACCTTAATGAGTACGATGCTTGCCTCTCCCCATGCTTTCCTCGGTCACTGTCTGTCCCACTTTGGTTAGACGAGGAATCCCTTCCTTTGTAGACGAGGCAAAGGGACGAAGGACCGCAAAGGCTACACTGAAGTGCATTTCCTTTGTAGCCGAGGTAGAAAAGCCCTGCGGCGTTGAGAACTGCTTCTCCATCGATTAGTCCACATGAGCAAGCTAACAGCCAAGGATTCGAAAACACTACGCCTCTTTGTGGTATGCGTACATCCACAAATGACCCAAACTGCTCATTTATTATTACGTGGACATGGGCATACACACAGACACAAAAGCAACGCCTTGATATTTGCCTTAAAAGCTACTCAAGAACTTTTTCTGCAAGGATGGGCGAATAGAGTATTTGGCCTCGCAGTCTTTTTTTTCACTCCATCATCACCATGACTGAGACACTGCAAGAGGAGCATGATAAATCTGAGGCAGCAAAGTTTAACAAAGCTAATTAGCCTTTACAGCACAGAATAAAATGCTAATGTGAGGATCTGCATTACAGAAAAAAATCTGTTCTTAAGATTTGAATCCATAACACCAGCAGAGACCAAGATTGTTGGGTCAACACTAATTAACTCCCCAACTGAGAGGCCCTACATGAAGCGCCATGTCAGTGTCTGTAAAAGTTTCACAAGGAAAGATTTAAATAACATCTATATAATCACTACTGTTATCTTCTTAAAAGGTCGACCCAAATGACCTGCAGACACAATCTGCAGGTGGTGGTCATCGATGTCCGTTCATTCCTTAGCAACAATGAAAGAAAATAATCCTTTCAGCTGTGAAGCGAGTGTCACTTTGGAGATAGTTTCCACTCCTCTGGGTCAACTAATTCCCATAATTCAAGTTCAGTAGGTGAAATTGAAGCCTGCTGTGACATTCCCACCTCATCTGTGCTGCTGAACAAGCTAATCACAGAATATCACATGCTTAGGATATGTATAGTTATAGAGGCTGTTATAGCACATGGATGCACACTGAGGTGGTTAGGGCACCAAGGTGAGCATGTGGACAGTAGCTGCACCTGCAGAAGAGGGTTCACAGTGCCAAGGACATAATGTCCTGTAATTGATGATGATGGGTTGTCTGTTCAGCCACGTTCAGGTGTGTGTGTCACATCCCAACTCCCCCCAGCTGGATGAATTTAGTCAATAGTCGACCAACACAGCTGCTCCCAACCTGAATCACAGCTCGATCATATGTATCTCACCTGATAACTGAATCAGTGCTAATGAATCCACTATTGTTTTCATTTCTTAACACAGAGCCTGTCCTTCACCGGCTGAGCAGAATCTTTCAGTGCACAGTAATGTAAAGCATTTATCTGATGGATGGGTTTGGTTTCACACCACTTATGTATTCCTCTGCAAGACTCTCAAAAGGCACAGTGAGCACCATTCAGAGCTCCCATTAGCAGAGGATTGAGTTCAGAAAATAAACACTTCCCAGATATACAAAGCCTGTTTGTTATCCATCCCAATGCAGATTACAGAAAGCAGCAAATAACAGATAGGAGAAAACATTGGCACAAAATGTGAGCTTTTCTATGATTGAGGAGATGAAGAGGTTTATCTCAAGACAGCATAAGACATTTAGTCAAGCAATGAAATGCACTGAGTGACAGACGGGATGAGAGAATGAATGATGGGAGTGACAGAGAGATAGAGGAAGGGCAGGCTGACACATCCAATGAAACTACAAGCACAGCGATCACCCCAAAAAATGAGATTAGTCAAACGCCTTGGGGATATTCAGACACTCACCTCTTTTTCTCCCTTCTCTCAGTACAGACGTTCAGTGGAGTAGATGGCACTCCTCATCTCACTGCTGCTCTGGTGTCTGTGTGTGAGAGCACACCCCTCTGCCCATTCATAATAGCTCTGCCGACGCACCACTCATGCACGCACGCACGCACACACGCACACACAGGTGTGACAGTCATGTATGCTAATATCTCCAGCCTGGCAGACGGGTAACATTTACTGCACATTATTGCTTCTTGCTCCGTTTACGGTCTCAGGTTTATTTCCTCAGGGATCACATCAAGGTGGGTGAATGAGATGCTTTGCAAACCCCATACCATCACATGCTCTGAAATATGCATGCTGCTGACATCATCCATGTGGATATGAATCCATCTATGACTCATTTGTTTTGGAACTCAAATAATAGCCAAATAAAAAAAAATAAAAAAAAATAGTCCTTGCGGGCTCCTTAACTGGAAATCACCTTCCAGCAACAAGTCTGTAGACAGATGAAGCAAGTGATTGGCTACAAATCTTCATAAAGAGCCAATCACAGCGCTGCAATGATCTGAGGTCACTGTGCAAAAAAAAAAAAAAGACATAATTACACGATGCCATTTAGAGGGCGGTTTTCTCTACCAGGATCCACCTAAAAGGAACAAAATAATGTAAACAAAGCTAGTTGCACTCGATACCTACACAGACCCGTTTCACACTGCATGAGTCACACAGCCAGTGCACTAGGGCAGATGGGTCTGCCTGAACATATGAAACCAAATCACGTAGCATTTGTCAAGCCAGAAACTGACCTCAGTGATTCCTCCATAAGATTCCTCTGAAAGCTGAAACTTTGCCACAACAAAAACAGACAGAAATGATCACCCTTCATCATTAAATGCTTTAATTCTTTGGATACACCCTGTGGGATTATTTTTTGATGATCACATCTTATTCATTCCCTGCAGTTTCACATTACTAATTCATAATCTGCACCTTGAGAGGCGACAGAAAAACAGGACTTAACGAGGGCTTCTCAAAGTGACATCACAGCAAACAAAATGCAGCAACCACAAGCACACATTTGAAAACAGCAAATAAGCACACAAAATTAAAATTAGTAATATAAAATAATAAAAACTCATCTCAGTAAAATATATTCAATAATCTTAATTCAAACAAAGAAAAAAACAATTGTGCAATACACTTAAAGAAAACCCTTCGTAACAGTCCTGAGCAGAAACATTTGTTTAGAGTTCAAAGAAAAGCTCGACTGCAACATGAGATTGTGAGTAAAGCAACGTGAACTTCATACTGTACAGCGGGAAAACATCGGCTTCAGGGATTAAATGTTCAGCTAAAACTTACATTCAAAACAAGTTTGGATACATTATACAATTCATAGCAAACATTCTTTCCATTGACATATGTAGTGTTTTAAAATGACACCATAAATGTTTGCAATGATCCTTTACATATTGCCTTAAGAGGCAAATTATCAAGAGCAGAGACGATGGCACACTGCGGTCTCAGAGCTTCTTTGTAAACAAATATAGAAAGTGCTTGACTAATTTCCACTGTCTTTGGACGCGATTGGTCTCATGACATTGTGAGACATTTGTTGTAGTTTGTAATTGAGTCTTTGTCCATCCCACACACAGAAAAGTCTTTCAAACTGCCGTTTCCCTTACGTCTTTGGCTTCAGATTCAGCAGAGTCAGCGGTTTCCTGCGCTGCTCCAGCTGAACTGGACGCCTCCTTGGAGTCTGCAGTGGGGGAGCTGGTTGTACTGGGTTCCTCTGGCTTCGTGTCCCGTCCCTGGTCTGAGGCCAGCTTCAGGAACAGAGGGACCTCCAGCTGCTCTTTGGTCAAAAGGCCTCGCTGGTCATCAACCCTGCTGCACTGAGCCCTCGTCAGCATGTCCAGTAACCCTGACACACACACACACACACACACACACACACACACAGAACATCCTGGTCATTCTGACGTCGTTTCAAATAAAGAACACTGTGCTGTTTGAAATCCGCCTCAGGTATTTAGATTTTATAGATTGTAGTCAGTCAACACAGTTTTAGAAAAACAACAACCAACGTTTAAATAGTATATATTCAACATCACGCCCCGGGCAAGGATACGAGGAATGGGCTATAAGGATTAAAGGTGCTATCAATTTTATATTGCATATGAATGTAGAACATAATAGTTTATATTCTGCAGAGAAACTTGAAACGGAGTTAGTTTCTTAAGTTAATTCTTGACCTTAAAAACAGCAGCTGATAAAACAACCCAACTCCTATAGGTCCGTTTAGTAGCTTTGATATCACACAAGTTTCCTCAGCAGATGGAGTTTGCCCAGTCGCCACGTAATTTCATTTTTTTTGCACTTCCATCTGCTGAGAAAGATTATGTGATGATTGAAAGGCCCAGAACAGCTTCTGAAGTCAGCTTGTGGTGAGAAATGTTTTTGTTTTGGCCTCTTCATTTTAATCTCACTATAGATTCCTTGTTATAAATGGAAAAAGCTATCAGGCGTTGTCACGTCGAACCAATCCTACAAGATACTGCCGAGATGTCCTACCCTCCATTTCGGGATTTTTACTGGGCTTGGCCCGGGCCTCCACCCCAACTGCACTCACTGCTCCTGCCTGGGACCAAAAACAGATTCAGGCGTTATCAAAGCACAAAATACAGCTTCACAGGTTTTAAATCCTCGGAACATTGTAGGCTACACATTCTAGAAATCACACAAGGAATAAACCTTTTAATGAGATGGGTGTTGAGGCTTTTCTGTTGGTGTCCATGAGCTGTGGGCTGTGTCACAAACCACTTCCCTTTAACTCTATAGTGCACTACATCTACATTGCATTTGTTGTGTGAAAATATTCCCTACACAACCATTAAAATAAGTTATCTATATACAATATATATAAAACAAAAAGTATTGTCTAAATAAGAATATAATGAAGGATGCCACCAAGGTTGTGTCCAGAATGACTCCCTTGTTCACACACAGTCATGGTCTTCACTATATTCTTATGTAGATAACCTCGACAACCTCAGCAGCTCGCCTTGTATGCATGACTTGTCCGTATTGTATGGATGTTGTTTTGGTTTCATGTTTAGCATTCTATTAACATTTCCTCACCTGTGCGGCTGCAGGAGAACCACTGCCCCTGGAAACATTGATCTGGTCTCTTCCTGTTCAAACCACACGAAAGACAAGTTTCACTTTTTAACAGTGCTTTCACTTCCAGTAGAAAACTAGTCTGCAGGCTGCTACAGAACATAACTACCCATTGTGTTAAACACCGACACAAGACAAATAAAATACTCTTGAAAAGAAGACTTCAACTGGTACTTCTCAGACACAACCACTACTCTAATCCATTGCCCTCTTCCTAAAGCCAGTGAATGGGGCTGAGGTAAGGAGCACTGATCCAAAGTGAAGTCTGTTCTGGTCTCCTCGCAGTTGGGAAATGAGGTGAGCGAACTCAAACTGGCACAGCACTCAACAAACCAAATGGACTCGGACATTTTAACCCCACAGAGATAAATGAAGACGCAGGCAGAGAGAGAGACGCACAAAGAAGTCAGAGCAGGAAATATAAAGGAACACGCAGACAGTGACGCAGAAAAACCCGGGCATGAAAGTAGACGGTGAAAGGACCCCCAGATAAGAGCCAAGAAATACAGAAACACTTTCTAGGACCCATTTAATAAACTATTAAGTGAGTAAGAAGGCACAGCCAGAGTTGAGACGGCAGAAGAGAACAAACAAAGCATCACCAATGTGTCACCCACATCACCGACAACCAACAGTGGCTGGAGGGCTAGAGTGTGCCTTCTCCGATTTGAGCAAACTCATTTCATTTACTCGTTGGTTGCTTTTCATCGCATGGCTGCTCGTGCTCTTGGGGGAGCAGCGTCGTTATTATTAAATGATGTTAACATTCCCGTTAAAGTAAAACATTGGGTTTGAAAAAAGGGCAAGTGTATTAACCTTTGGTTGTGTCAAGCCGCAGAGTCTTATTGGCCAGTCTGAACACAGAGCCGGTCATGTTCAGAGGCTCGTCGCTTCCAGCCTGAAACGAACAAGGAAGTAAGATCTGTCGAAAAGATGCTGACACACACAATATCAGTGGTACAAAGAAAAAAGGGACTAGATGCATAAAATACACATCAATGAATTACAAACAAGTAATCCTAGTTACTTATTCCAATAACAAAATGCTTATGTAACACATTACATTTTCAAATTAAAATGACAGATTTTATAGATATCAAGATGATCAGTGACGTGTAAGGGGTTGCCAAGCAGCGGCTGCTGTAAGCAGGAGGCAGACGGAAAGAATTAAAAGAACATTTTTAAAAAACATGTCGGACAAGTCTCCTGCTTTGAAAAGTACGGGTGAGTCAATTTGAATTTACGAGATTATCGCAAACCAGAGTAATCAGTTAAGTGATTATTTTAAAATTGAGAAAGTTCTATCAATAATTTACTTATCTGAAGAAATACTCAAGCACCGCCTCCATGATACGTTTCACACACACACACACACACACACACACACACACACACACACTCACTCACACTCACCATGGTGACCAGGGCCTCCTGCGGCTTGACGTGGTGTTTGTGCAGCATGGCAGAGAGAGCGTCCTGCAGCGTCTTACTGGACTTCACCATGATCCCAACCGTCTTACCGGTGAAGGCAATCTCCAGCCTGAAGCACACGTGCATTTCAATTATCCCGCTCACACAGTGAATACAGTGGCACAGCATCATTAACATCTAATCGTACAAAGCCTGCCACTCAGTGATATCTTAGCAGGAAATCCAAAATTGGACTTTTGATAATGTATTCAATGCCAATGATGACTAATCTGTCTGGTGTTAACAGGACTTCCCCCTGATGTGGTGAGAAGTTCCATCCAGTGGGGGAGATGAGGGTGTGAAAGCCCACTGAGGGTGACGAAGAAAAAGCAAAAAGAGGAAGTGACACAGTCGACTCACGCAAACGTCACCCTGAGCTCCAGAGAGACCTGCTGATCCCTGAGCACCGAGCAGTCCTGGTCCAGAGATAAGGGTTGCTGCAGAGAGAGCAAAGGTGTGCCACACACAGAAGTGACTTTCAGAGACGTCGGCATCAACTGGGGATACTTTCAGAAATGGAGGGAGTGAGAGGCCGGGAGGATGTTAAAAAGAGGAAGAGGGTAGTCATCTTTCTCATACCGCCTGTTGCAGAACAACTCTGCAGCGCAGTACATAAATACCTTTGAACAGCTTCTTGGTTTAAAGCTACACAGCAGCTAAGTCGTCACCTTGTCCTTGCCATGAAGGTAGATGACGACATCTTTCAGCGGGAAGCCTCTCTTCTCACACAGGCTAGCCAGCATGTCTTTGATGAGGTGGCCGCTACGCGTGGGGGCCAGCGAGGCGCTGCCATCGGGCAGGTAGACACAGCAGTAGCCCCCCTCCACCCCGATCCGACTCCCACCTCCACCCCCCTGCTCTGGAGGCCGGGGACTCAATCTGCCGTTCTATGCCACAGATGGAAAGGAACAGTTAGTTAAGAGTGAAAAATATACTTCAAAACAATAGAGCTAGGCACTCCATGTCAGATTTCCTTCTAGTCTGCGATTGGTCTACTTGAATACAGTATTTTCTTCATGTGTGCCCTGTTGCACTGACCTCCATCTGCCTGTAGAGGGAGCCGAGCTCTACACTGCTGCTTGATTTGACAGACACGTGGGACTCTTTTTGGGAGACTGAGTCAGGGTTGTTGGATGAATCTGTGGTCATCAATAAAAGGAAATGAACAAAAACAGAACCAAAGAGAAATTGTGGGATAAAGTCACATGATGTACATCAAGGCATAACTACCTCCCCAGGATCCTCTTTTCTGTCCCTGTTTTACAGAGGCAGTCTTGCCACCTGGCAAGCTGTTGGAGTCCAACTTCTTATTCTGTTTGAGATAGTGATAGAAGAAATGCAACAGCAAAATTTAAAGCAGCAATCATGTTTTTTTGCTCCCTTTCCTGTCCCTCAGTCACTCTACCTTCTTGTTACTTACGGGGCTTCTGGTGGACACGTCCTCCCAGGATCCCATGCAGACCGGCTCTGTAGAGAGCTGAGGCACAAGTTTACCTCCTACGCCTCCCAAGGTGCAGCTTTGGTAGAGAGGGGAGCGCACAAAGCGCCTGTAGCTGTCCATCTTCATCAGTTTGAATATCTGACACAGAGTGGGGACAGTTGAACACACGCCAGCAGAGGCACCAACAAAGAATCACTGCATCACTGAGCTGAAATGAGAGTGTGGACTCCAAACAGACCTGTGCTTGGGCCTTGTTGAACATGTCGGGTGTGGCCTGTTCCAGGTCCTTCTCCTCCATCTTGGCTGTGTCATCGATGTTGACCGAGTAGGGAGCGCTGTCAGACAGGTAGGTGTTGTAGATGGAGCGAGCTGCTGTTTTCAGCTGGGAAGACAACACCTCCATCAGACTGAAACCTCCTGAAGATCAGACATCAACTAAACTTGGTTTGCTCATCATCGAGTCTGACGAGACATCTTCGAACCAGAATAGATTCAAACGTCAATGTCGCACTGAACCAATTTAATTGACCAAACAATAAGTCTGCCTTAAACCTCTCAGTTTTATTTGAAGGAATAGTATAAAGGAAGGGAAACATCTCAAAAATATGAAACCGCTTCAGTCATTCATCATTTTTTACTGAATATAACAATATATTCTAACACAATAAAGGCAATCTGTTGACTGCTACACAGACCGCAACATAGAACCACATCTGGTCAACAACTACAAAAATAAGTTTCAGCATTCTAATGAAGAGTATTCATAAAAAACTAATATATAGAGTAAACAAACGACAGCAAAATTAATCACAACGATAGGTCAGAAGATTCACCGTGTAAAGAGGTAAAAAAGTGCCATCATACCTCGTCCAAGGCGCTGGCTTTGATCTTCCTGAATTTTTCGCAAGCTTGCCAGAATAAGATGTTCTCCGCACTCACCTCAGACATCAAGAAGGACTGTGGACAAAGACACGTACACTGTATGAACACATATGGCACGCCTTGTGAGAGGTCGCTAGAAAACACTAGATTTATTCCTGAACATAAAATCACAACATGTGTGTCGAGTGTGTCTCACCGTAAACTGGCGGACTCCATAGGGGTCCTCCAGCAGCTTCTCAAAGGAGACGGCCCAGCTCAGCACACCGCTGGCCGGGCCGGCCTCCCCGCCCGGAGTCCCTGGAAGGCTGGAGCTGCTGCCTCCACAGCCCCGTGCAGACATGTTCAACTCTACACATGCGAACACAAAAACACACCCATTTATCAGAATAGAAAAGCATGACCAAGAATGAGACAGATTTAGATATTTTCTCCTGTCGTGCACAGACATGTTTCTGTTTGGAGAAATGCAAGATGTACAGGATTGTCAGCCTGCACGTTGGTCTTTCACGCTTACCTCCGTCTGACACCGCCTGGCTCTGTGAATAGAGAGACAGAGAGATAAGGTAGGGAACAACCTCAAACCAAATATATGATCATTCCTATGGCAGTAGTTGAGAAATCCAACATTCACTTCATTGAATCAGAATTATATTTAAAAAAAGGCATATTCTCCTAGAAGCTGCAATCAAAAGTAGACCACAGAACAAGAAAATGAGATGTTGAGTACATTTAAATATTACAGCAACAGCTTTACAATACTTCAAATGGTGTTAAGACAGAAGCTAGACACACCCACACTGAGGCCTACATTTAGGAAGTGAGATGTGAACACCAGCTGCATGTTTTTTTGCCTTCTCCCTTCTGTGTGACAATGCAGTGCAATCAGTCAAGCTGTTTTCACAGGAAGTGGTTGTGACACTGACGACAATGGCTCTCATTCAGCTTTTAGAACTCGCAAAATTCACATCTTGTAAAAGTTCTGTCATAAATCTGAGCAGTTTCACAGTTAAATACTGCACACCAGTAATACAGAAATATAATTCAGGGGTCCTGCATTTTAATCCAGAGGCCGTTCTGTTTGGCGTTTACATTGCGGTGCTCTGGTTTATTTTCACGGTCTAAAGCTGCTCAGAGGTGTGAAAGTGAGCGTCTGTCCATCAATGGAGTCTAGTCCAGTGAGTTGCAACATGCTCAGAGTGCACGCTATAAGTAATGTTTTTTAAAATAGACTTGAAGGAAACATTGTCATCATTAAAAGTTAGAATGTCATTAGGGTAAATATAAGATTAGGGAACTACAGAAGGTACATTCAACATTTTACAATTGATACAATAAAATTGAAAAATGGGCTAAATCGATGTGAAGGGTTATATTTCTGCTGAAATTGGGAATATGGTGCCACTTTATAAATTGGGATATCTGCATATTTTTTACATTTTAGAAATTCAAATATCTTGCTTCGCAAGTTGTTTAATGTTAATCAGATGACAGTAAGCTAAATCTAGTTACTTCTTTTTTGTTCTGGTAGTTTTTACTTTTATTTTCATTCATACTTTGTACTATCTTATTGTGAGTTGATATGCATGCAGCTATTTATCAGGTCTCCACATCAAACGTGCAAACGATTGAGAAGGTACATGTCATACTGGGAGTGAGAAAACTTTCCCAGCATCCACTAATGCATGTTAGTATTAACCATGAGACAGAGGCCCATCTCCTGTGTAAGTAGACGGTACAAAACTCTTCAAGAGGAATGAACCCACAGTATTGATGTATTTTACCTTGAATAAATTACTAGTGAGAAGATATACTGCATGCGTGTTCATTTTAGATCAAGCAAAGAGAAAGTGTTTGACTCTTGGCCATTGATAAACTCTGCCCATATAAGGTCGACATGGGCTGGCAGTTTGTGCAGGTGTGAGCTCCACTGTGGCTCCGCCTCTTCACTTCTTTGCGCCACTGCTCAAACTCTGGCTCCAAAATCACAACATGTCGGTGCCCACAAACACAGAGTGCAAGGGAAACAAACGTCTCCTCAGTCTAGCTTGTGCACCTTTCGTCCTCATACACCGTCAGAGGAGAAATATCTGAGGATTAGGATTATCTGCAAAGCCTTTGAAGGGGACAAAAGATATGCAAACTCACTATGTGAGGGCAGAGTCTGATGCAGCACCAACTACAGGAACATTTGCAATCACTCAAAATGCACAGAGAGCTTTTTCTTGCCCCTGTGAAATACATCTTTATAAACACACACACACACACACACACACACACACACACAGCTGGACCAATTAAAGAAACGAGTCGCTTTCACACCGAGTAGACTGAAGCCTTCTCGGCCTACACATGACAGCTTGGACAATGGGCACGACTTGGTTTCCGCTTCCGACTCAACGGGCCTGATCTATTGTGCAGCAGCTACACACTGTTCACTTCTGAGGGGTGAAGACAGACAATGCAAGCCAGCACAAGAAACTGCGCCACCGTACTCAACTCAACAGTACACACACAGCTAAAGCGTACTGATAAAAATAAAAAATAAAAATAAAAGCGGCCCAAAATGTGTTTACCAAATCATGCGAGGACTATAAATAACAACAGGTACGCAACACACTAAACTCCAACTTATTTATCACAGTACGTTTACAGTCTTGAAACCCCTATGAAAAGCCTTCTTCCGCATAAACAGACCACTGGCTCAAAAAAACTGCACAACCAAAACAAAATGTACCCAACAGAAGTGCTGCCATGTTTACTCACCATGTGGCCCACAGGAATCCCTAAAGCATTGCATTTCTTCGCCATGGCGGCTCACACACCCCGACTACAAGGAGTGTTTATGCGATGGCACACTGTCAGGGGACACGGTGAAGTGCTCCACCCAAAACATCATGCACACGCTTCATGCATACACACAGAAATTCATCATTTTGTGTCATTCTGTTACTTCCTGCCTGTAAGGGAAGTCTTGCCATAGCAACAAAGCCACAAAAGAGGAAGTACGGTTACTATGATCACACTGCTCTCAGCCTACATCTTGAGAAACACTATGATGGAACACAGACAAGACGAACGCACTCAGAAGTTACTAGACACAGCTTGCAACCATTATACAATCTAGGCAATCTCGCTGCAATGTCATACTTTTCTTTTTTAGTCATTAGTGAAGTGTCCTTGTGTTTGGAAGTTAAGATTTTGACATTAAAACTACAAAACCAAGGCCTCTTTATATTCCCTCATTTTAAAGATGGTAATCCTGCCTTAAAATAGTTGAAGTCAAAATCATGGTGTTCTCCAAACATCACTCAACTTCTACACGATGCAAGAGAAACTTCACATCTCGTAAACAGGCCTTCTCTTCTAAATTAAATTATAGGAGTAATATTCTGCTGCTAGTTAAATCGTAAAAAATTCCAACTAGTGCATATGATACACTTTCCCTATTGCTGAACCACCGTTGTGTGCGGATGCACTCTCCTATGAACTTGTGTGTGAAATGGTCGTCTTGCCTTCCAGTCCGCCATGATGCCAGTGACCGTGGTGCACCGGTTGTCATATTTCCTGAATTGCCTTTGTGCTGCAACTTTTGCCAGGCGGGAGAATCTGTGACTAAGTCCTCTGAGAGCCAACATCTTCAGAAAGACGATCACACAAAGTCAACAGGTCAGAGGTAATCAACAGCTTTGATCCCAACATTACCTATTTGCTGAGTCCCAGGTGAAGCAGGGCCTTTTAATTAACTATGCACCTGTGACTTATTATCAATTAGCTTACACGGTCAACAACGTCCCTGTCTACTTTTGCTTGGCTATATCGAAAGCTTTTTTGCTAAATGTCTAACTTAATGTGCAGCTTTTGAGAAGTAATGTGAAAGCACATATTCAACACAGATAAGCTAATTGTATGTATGAGACAAAGGCAAAGCATCCTTTACTTGCAACGCAGTTTAGCTTACACACAAATTGTATCAGAGAAAAAGTAAAACGAAATGAAAGCACAAGATTGTGGTATGAATAAACACTTGAGGAGACAAAAGAAGGCCTGAGTCTTAAGATAACAGGAAAAGCAAATTGATTGGCTAACAACACCAGCCAAGTTCAACGTGATCTTCACTCCCGTACATTATCTATGATGAAGGAGAGACAAAGATGACTCGCACGTGATTTTAATCCACAAACCAGTTTTGTTATTTCCATGTGGAGTTTGAATATTCCCCTTGTGTCTGTGTGGTATTGTTTTCTGTTTTCCTCCCACAGCCCAAGCACATGCAGGTTTGATTAAATAGGAGCGTGATAGCATTTGTCTTTTGCAATCTGTCCAATGTGCACCCTGCCTCTTTCCCAGTGCATGCTGGAATGGGCTCCAGCTTGTTGACCCTAATGGGACGAGAGTAATGAAAAAAGATGGGTGATCAGCAGCACTCTCTACTGGTCAACTCCACAAATATATACTGTGTATGAAGGCTCAGGATGATTTCAATGAAAGATGATATTGTATTTCCAAGCTTCAGTTCTACAGAATTGGGACCATTTCCCCCAAAAGTCCGGGCACAGTTATACCTATGTGTTACATTATACAGTGTCTGCAAAGGCAGGGTAGTTTGCTTAAGCAAACCACTGATTTGCTTATAACAGGTTGCACGTCGGCATGCTGTCTCTGTCTTTTATATTCATGTGTCTGTCTCTCTGTCAATTTCTTATTCTATCCATTTGCAAAAAGCGTAAAAATCACATAATGTTAACCTAAATGTTACTCGACAACATAAACAGCAGCAGCCTCACCGTCATCGTTACCATCACTCTCATCTATAAAACACACAAACGGAGATATTGTTTGTGCCATTAGGTTCCAGGAAAGAATGCATTTGCATGGCTATCAGTGTGTATAATCAGCTAGTGCCGTGCCTTTCGGCGACAGACCAATAGGTTAGGCAAAACAGAGCATCATTCAACCGTGTGTGTGAGGAGACAACACCACCACAGGTAACAAGAAAAACACGTCAGCATTATTTTCTACCTTTATGATTATATTTAGTGTGTGTAAAGTGTAAATGTAGTTAGCTTAGGACTATCATTCTTACTTTTTGACTCTTTTCCAACAGAGAATGTTTATGAGAGGGGTATTTCTAAATATTTTGCTTGGTCACCTCCTCAGAGGTAAGTAGCCACTTATGAATTTGACAGTTCATATCCAGTATATGACTGTGTAGCTGTCCACGTATACATTTAATTCAATTTGTTTTAACTTTATTTAAGCTGGTGCTGGCGCTACCTGTGTTCCTGTTCAGTGTCTGAGATGTAACGCCACAGGAGAATCTCAGGCAGGTAAGAAAAAGAACCGTAAACCTCTCACACTATTTATAAGCTACATTTGGAAATGTTATGAAGCAGCTAATGTAGCTGAACGTTTTCTGCCATTGAATAAGGAGAGGTGAAATGCATTGGAAAAATGTTGTTCATGCTATTCTTTCGCTATAGATCCTTGTCTACTCTGCTCAAACAATACAGAGTGCAGCGACGGTGAGTGCATCTTTCTTTTCATTTGTTTACGTGGAGATCAATCCTATGAATTTTACATGGCACATTAGGTATAGTAATTGGCAGTGGAATGGCGGTAGCACAACGAGGATATACGAACATGGAAAACAGGAGAATACATAATGTAATTGGAAAATAATGTAAATACTACATTTGATTGATCTCTAGTGTATGACTTAGGGGTTTTACTGTATAGAATAAGTTAAGTTAATAAGTTGTCAGAAAAACTTGTATGTTATTTTAAATCTTAAAATAACTGGGATGTGTCATGTGTGCTCTGTTGTAAACAAAATGCTTATTGTGACGATATTCATTTCCATGTTTACTCTTGTACCTACAGATATTCCACCAAACTACAAAAAAGGTAACCTGTAACAATATCCTCGTCTGTGGCAGCATACACATAAACACATAACGTGACAACTATATGCTTACCTAAAACTATCACTGTTGCTCCCCTCCGTATAAATGTTTTCCCTGCCCATCAGACTTTCAGGTTTCTGTCAACAGCACTGGATCCAATGTAAAAGAGGGTGATGACATCACTCTGACATGTCTCCATAACTTTCCCGATTTGAATCTGACTTTTGGGTGGAAGAGGGACGGGGAGGACATCCACAATGGCAAAAATAAAAGCAAGCTGCATCTCAAAAATGTGTTTGCACGTAAAAGAGGCCGGTACATCTGCTTTGTGAACAGCCTGTGTGGTTGTTACAAGTCTTCGCCACACAAGGTCACTGTAGAGGGTAAGTAGACATCCCACAGTCTAAGGTAGACATCTCCCTGCTTATTTCACACAGCTGCAGATTACATGTGCCTCTGTCATGTAGATTTGAATTCATTAACCAGGCTGAAAATAGTGCATTGTACAACTTTGAAATTGAAAATGAAAGAGCTGGAACATTTAATGAAGATATGAATAATAAAAATGCACAACTCAATGACCCTTGCTAGCATGCGTCTTAACTGTCTGTCCGTGTTTCTGCCTTTGTAAATGTGTTCATCCAGACCAAAGTGTGTTGCTCCTGATAATCTGCTGTGGTTCTGCTCTGGTGCTGGTCGTGATTATGGGGCTGGCTATGAAGTTCAAGCTGAAAAGAGACGGAGGTAAAGACATTAGTTCAGGTTGTTTGTGGTATTACACAATACATAGACAGAGAGCATTGTCTCGAATGCAAATCATGATTAAATATAGATATAGTGTAGGGCTTTGTTGCCCCATGGTGCACACATTGTACATTTCAAATACTTAATGTTTAAATCGTTCAACATTTTGGAAAATCCGCTTATTTGGCTTCTTTGCATAAGAAGATCGATAACACTCATATCTGTCTAAATATGTTTATCTTCTCATCGAACTCTTTACTAAAAAGCAAAAAGACATATTATCCTAGTCTTCAATATTTGCATCCTGCTAATGTTAGAATTACAGGTTTGACTTCTCTCTTTATGTACATCATAAAGTCTGACACCTCCCCTTACTGTCTCAGCTAAACACAGAGAGAGGAGGGAGCAGAAGGCGAAGGAGCAGAACAGCGCTCCAGCTACATTGACACCAAGAGAGTCCTAAAGAAGAACCACCTTTACCTTCAAAAATGATGAATAGTAATTCAGAATCAGAACCGTTTATTTCGCCAGAGTATGTTGGCACATACAAGGAAGGGGCGACTGTGGCTAAGTGGCTAGCAGGGCCGTCTTTCTATCAGAGAGTCGGCTGTTCAGTCCCCGGCTCCGGCTCTGCTAGTCGCATGTCGATGTGTCTTTGAGCAAGACACTTAACCCCAAAATTGCTCCCGTAGCTGTGCCTACGGTGTAGAAATGTGATAGACTCTGAATTGTAAGTCGCTTTGGATAAAACCGTCTGCTAAATGACTGTAATGTAATGTAATTTGACATGGTGGATAGTGCATAACATTAAACAATCAACATAGTGCAAAAAAGTGATATTGTTTCATAATTTTCTGTTGATGTATTTGATGTAGACATAAAACATCCTTGAGGAAGTGTGTGTGATAATTTGAGGTCACAGGTTTATGTGTTGAGCCGTTTCCAGCCCAGTGGATCCTTTGTTTGGCACAACATTTGACCAGAAAGCCTGTTCAGTTGAGGAAAAGAGTCAAGAAATGTTTTAATCCAGACACAGCACATGCGTGCACAAACTAATCCCCATGAATGCGCTACTCACAGGAACCAACACAAACAGACGACCCAAACGGAGCAGCTTTATAGCAGCTGGCATGTAACGGATATATGGGATGATAATGCTGTCTCCAAGAGAGGAGTGGATTTGGGATTTGAGAGTTGATTTATGAACACAGAAATAATAAATTCCCATGGTCCACCAACATGATATAATCCTTTGAAGTGTATGCATTGGACTCTACCCTCTGCTTTTCCCATGCTGCTCTGAGGGCCTTTGGTTTCTGTGTTAACAGCATGTTTTCCCTCAGCCATATGGCAAAATATCTGAACTTCTTTTCTCTTTTCCTCCTCGTGATATAATAATGTGTGAGTGTGTCAGGAAGGACTGTTTATTCAGTTTCCTCCTATAGCAGGTGGCTATGGGATAATCCAGGTAAAGCCACTGCAAAGTGGAGGTGGATGGATAGACAGAGGAAGAGGAAGGGGAGGGGGGATGGAGTGGCCTTTGCATGGATGACTAGGGCTAATTCTGGCCTCCTAATCCCAGTCCCGGCCACCCTCCCCCTCTCTCAGTGAGGAGCAATTGACGCCCAGGTAGACATTACTATCACATACACACATAGCACTTAACCCAGTCAAGTTTACAGAGTATAAAATAGGGAAAAGACAAAGGCTACTGGAACCTTTTCTGGATAGTTAACCTGCGTGACCTGGATCGCTGACACACCTGCGTTAGCTTCACTGGAGAATGTAGCGGCAGCCCTCCAGCCAAGCCACAGGAAACGTCACCATGGGAGAAGCTCAAAAGGTAAGTGACCTGATCTGGAGGAACAGGATTTATAACCCCAAATTCAGTATTTGTTTGACACTAGGAACTATTTACAGGCGTTCGTGGCTCCAAAAGTGCGTTAATATAACTATTTTACATGATTAGTAGCTGTTTCGATGCAGCTATTCTTTGTTGATTGGATTATCTAAATTGCTTGGCTTGTTATATGGCGCTGCTATGATGATCATACATCTAAATGGAATCTCTAATGCTCTTTGATGTACACTGAAACACACATACATCGTAGTATCTGTACCCCTGATCAAAATATTCAAAGTTTCAGCGTACGTCTCTTTTGTCAGTGACAGCCTGCGATTGCACAACCTTGCTTCAGACTAATCACATTAAATAGTGTACCATTGTACGAATGGAGCTCTAATCAACACCAGTGCTTTTCTAAGTGTAATTATTACAGACTGCAGGTGGGAGCTACAGAGTGGGAAGATATTGATGGATGGAGAATGGAGGGTGGGTGGGGCTAGAAGGCATACGTGTGGTTGTATGTAGTGCTGTATGTAAGAGGAGCATTGACCTCAAATCTGAAAGAGGTCAGCGGGATCAGTTTGCAGGTGTAAACCTGTAACCTCAGGATATCGTGTAGGATGTTTCAGAGTATTTTAAAAAACCTCTTGTCACATATATTATTCTGGTTTGCATGCTTTTGTATTCCAAACTTAAACAATATGATATTTAAACATCCAATGACACATGATACAAGTCGTCTTCTGTTGATGTTCTGCCCTTCCACACCTCCACCCTCCTCCCTTCACGCAGGGCTTACTCTCTGTCATTGAGAGACTGAAGGGATCCACAGAGCACGAGGTCAGGATAGTGCTGCTGGGGTTGGACAACGCCGGCAAGACCACCCTGCTGAAGAGCCTCGCCTCTGAGGATGTGAACACCATCACACCAACACAGGTGAGAGGAAGATATGTGATAAAACTCATGCACACACACGCACACACACATCATGACCTTAAGTTAAGTCACTTACTGTACAGCATAATAAATCAAGAAGCACCACTGACTGATACGCTTGCAGATGATGTTTTTGTGCCCTTCATTTTAATTAAATCATCTCACCATGAACAGCTGAGACACTTTTTAACATCATTACCTGATGCCCATCATTAAGTGTGTTTTAGATAAACAAGGTGCATCCACCAGAAACATAGCCTCAATGTTACCACTCTTTAAAGATCAATTAGTCTGCTCTCAGTGAATCCGGGTGCAAAAACAGTGATACGATGGCGGTCTTCTCTTTTATCAATGAAGCTTTTCAAAAGATATTTTTCGTATTTTCATGGCACTTTAACCCAGCATTATAAAAGTCAGGGGGATTGTATCTAATCTTGTGAGACCAGCTGGACCAGTGCATGCTGGCGCTCAAAGTAATGGGATTTAGTTGGCCTTTGGTTTTCTGACATGCTATGAAATGAGTGGTCTTACAGTACACACACTATTACCACCAACCAGTAAAGTCATGATTTCAGGATGTCCATCCTGTTAAATAGTTTGTTAATTAACCGTTCATCGGGAAATTACCTTCCTGATTTGCATCCTCTCAACAACTTTTCTTAGAGCATCCTGACATTATAGTGAGCTTTTCTTTTATCATCCTCTTGTGATGTGATTACCTCTAACATGATTATCTAATACCCTTGCATTACTCTGACAAGACATAGAGCAGATGTACTGCCAGGTCCCGGGCAAGTGTGACGGCTCATCACTCGGCAGCGAGGATGCTGCCCAGCATGACAAGTCACCACAAAGCTAAACCAGACCTGGCACATAAACACACACAAACACACACAAACACACACACACACACACACACACACACACACACACACACACACTGCACTTGATCCTTCCAGTCTTATCCTCAGATTTGCTCCTCAGCTAGCCCTCGGGATAAAGTTGTTATACAACCTCGCTGACTGAAACAGAGGAGCTGCGTTATGAAAAACAGCGCTGGATTAACACAGTGACTTCCTTATAAAAGCCTAGACCACATGATACGTAATGCTGAGTAACCAAACGGTGATTCATTTAATACACATGTGCTTTAGTACCCTGCCACTTGGTCAATTGCTTCATAACTATTTGCAAGACTTTCCAGGTGCTGCGTACTGGAATTGAGTTCAGTCAAAGGCAGTGGTGTGCAGTACAGTGACTCCAGCTTTGTGCTTCACTTCAGGGCTTCAACATAAAGAGTGTTGCCTCTCATGGCATGAAACTCAATGTTTGGGACATTGGAGGACAGAGGAAGATCAGGCCCTTCTGGAAAAAGTATCTGGAAAACACAGACCTGTTGGTGAGTGACTAAACTTGATTCAAATCAATTCCACGCTAGCAGATATTTACTTCTGTATTTAGATGCTCATTAGTGTTCACAAAGAGGTTGCTAGTCACCCTGAGGTCCACACAGCTCCTCACTGAAAATACACCACAAAAAGTATATGAAGCAATACAAATCCACGACATTAAAGTGTAACATGTATGCCCAAATTAAGCACTATAATTGTATCTTGATGGAAGGACTTGTTAGTAAAAACCCAATGTTGTAAAACTCCTTCAGGAGTTTGACATGTTGAGGCCAAAGAGAAAATCATCGATGCATTTTGCTGTGTTTAATTTTATTGTAACATACGTCTTCTTTCAGATTTATGTTATTGACAGTGCAGACAAGAAGCGGTTTGAGGAGACGGGACTGGTGAGCTTGATCTCATTTCTGTTTTCAACGTATACATTTTGACATGAACCCCAGCAAAACTACCGAAAGCTGATTACATTGACATATATGAAAATAATTGTTTTGTTTTTAAAAACAAGTCAATTCCATGTGTTTGTGTGTGTGCAGGAGCTGTCCGAGCTGATTGAAGAGGAGAATCTAAAAGGTGTACCAGTGCTTGTCTTTGCCAATAAGCAGGATCTGGCCACAGCGTCACCGGCCAGTGAGATCGCTGAGGGACTCAACCTGCACACGTACCGGGACCGTGAGTGGCAGATTCAGGCCTGCTCAGCTGTGTCTGGGGAGGGAGTTCAGGTCAGACCTAGTCCCAGCCTTGATTCATTGATGTCTCCTTTCCATATAAACGTGGTCTGAGCTGCTTTAATGGACTTTATTTCTTTCAACAACCTCTTTTGGCCTGCCTAATTTCATGGTGGATTTTCTATCTTCAAACTTCTTTTTATTTCTCCGACAGGATGGCATGAACTGGATTTGCAACAACATTGTGAATAGGAAGAAGTGAACCGGCATCTGACCAGAGAGTCAAACAGAGAACCAGCATCACATAAGGGATGAGAGAAAATATGTCAATTAATTTATTATCGACACACCTCAACTATGACAGATCCTGCTCCCCTCACAGATTTGAATCATAATTTTGTTTTTACAATTTGTGTCATTTTTATCGGCACTTATCAATCAAAATGAATGTTTTTGTCCCCTTATCCTGAGGATCCTTGTCTGGTGAATCCGTGTGCTTTCTTAAACACAAAGAACACCAAGTGTGTAGCCATGTAGAACTGTTGGGGTTTGTCAGCTACATAGAAACCAGTTCAGTGCGAGTGTAAAGTGTGTGTTTTGAGATTTTTGACAATAAAACAATTAGTCATTTCTGCTATTTTGCTTTCTTGTTTTCGAATCTTATGTTGCCATCGGTAATCACATTTTGCATGAATACATCACAAATTGTCAAGTTTTCTTAAAATGTCGACAGGAAACATGTGAATTTGACTGTAAATGTCGACTCTTCCAGGAGTGACAGGAGAACAATTACACGCTG